AATCCTTTGTAAGACACACGTGTCTTGGATAGCTGTGGGTCTCCCTTGATTTCAATCATCTTCCCTTTCCACGGTACCTTCAAAATTGACTGACGAAAATTGGCCTGGATGTCCCCAAGCCCCTCCAACCAAGAGTATCCTAGAATAACATCCACTCCACCAAGATTAAACAAGAAAAAATCTTGGACAACCGGCATACCTGGTAATGATAGTAATAATCCTTTGCACGTTCCACGACTCTGAGTTTTGTATCCATCGCCCATCTCCACGGAATACAACGCGGCTTCTTCTACCTTCAACTTCATCTCTGCTGCGACTTGCCAAGCAAGGAAGTTGTGGGAAGCTCCGGTGTCAATTAGCACCGTAACCGGACGCCCCTGTACTTCACCCCACAATTTCAAAGAGTGATTCGATGTCAACCCCACTAGGCTGTACATGCTCAGGCTCATATTTCTTTCATCGTCTCCTCCAATCTCTTCGCAGGTAACCACGCTTTCGATTTCTTCCGTCAGTGCTTCCCCTGATCCCAATAACATGACACTCGTGCTCGCATTTTGACACACGTGGTCGGGTGAGTAAGGTGCATCACACCTAAAGCATAGATTCTTTCTCCTTCGCTCTAGCCACTCATCGGGCGAGAGTCTCTTGTAGGTGGTACCACGGACCCCTCCATTAGGATTAGGGTTCCTTCTCTCTGAATGTACATTCGACACCCCTCCCTTACTATTGTGCCCATCATTGTCCCCTATCCCATCGTTTTTGGGTTGCCCTACCGATGAGGTGGATCCTCTTGACACACTAACACTTAGCCCATTCCTCCCTCCAGTATTCTGATTGTTGGGCCTGTTCTCAGAATAATTAGCGGCCCGATTGGTCAGGGCTGGTCTTTGATTGAGCCCACTAACATACCCATGGCTATTCACATACCCCTTCGCTGGTGCCCTCAGCTTCTCCTTCACCTTCTCCCTTTCTTCTATCCTCTGTGCCAGGGTCATCATTCTCCCCAGTTCATTCAAGTCATGGAGTCTCATCTTCGCTCGGATATCTTCTCTCAACCCATTAAGAAACGCTGCTCTAATCATCTCTTCCTCTACATGCCTTAAAGGAGCTGATAACAGTTCAAATTGCTCCCTATAATCTGCAATCGTCCCATCTTGTCGAAGACTCATTAATGCTTCATATGGATTCCCCGAAGATGAGATATGGAAACGTTCCAACACTGCTAAACGAAAATCATTCCAACTCATATTCGGATTCCTGTTCTCCCACCATTGAAACCAGTTGAGTGCCCTTCCCTCCAAGCAAATCGCTGCTGTCTCCACGTGTTCTTCTACTGGGATGCGATTGATCCGGAAATATCTCTCCGCCCGATACAGCCACCCATAAGGGTCATCTCCATTGAAATATGGTACCTCTACTCTTCGTGCTCGTTCCCCATCCCTGATACGATTGATTCTCTCCCTTTCGTTTTCACCCCCATTTCCGTCGCCATTCATGGTTCTGTCTCTGTTTCCACTTCCCTCCCTCGACCCACGGTCTTCTGCTCTCAACACGTTAACTCCGTGCACGAGTTCCATCATGGTAGCACTTAATTGTCGAATGGATTCTTCGAGTCCTCCCATCCTCTCATTTTCCCTAACTCTTCCTCTCTCTAATTCTTCCAGCCTTGCTTCCATCCTGGTCAGTACCATATACTTTTTTTCTTTCTTCTCTTTTTTTTTTTTTTTTTAATTTTCTTTTCAGGATCAATGGAGCTCTGAGACCAAATTGATGGTACTTGCACGTTCCTGGGTGAAATTGAAATAGCTAGACAATTGAAATACAAAATTACCAGATCTACTCATGGTGCTATCAGTATCTGAAATACATCTATATTGCCATTATATTCATAATCAGCAAACTAACCATGTTCACTGTCATCATTACAAGTAGTTATACTGTTTACTTCCTACACAAGTGGGAATGGAAATACAAGAACAACAATGAAATACCCACAGCAACTCCATTACAGACCAACAAGGTTCTGCAATTACAGACTCCAAATGAAATAGCAAATGCAACAAACCAATATTACAGACACTGTAACTTTAATTGCTACTAATACTAATATTCCATACTCCTAACACCATCCACAAATCAAACCCGTTTGCAGAGTGTTCTTCTTTTTCCTCCAAGTTGGTGAATGATTTTCATGCCTTCCTTTTCTCTCTCTCTTGCATATAACTAACTTCAGTCACGCTGCCCTCCCTCTCCAATTCTGCCTTCTCCATTCAGCATTCGCCAGCTGTCCATCTCTCCATTGTGCATAACTAACTTCTCTTTATACATCTCTTGGGTCACAGCTTCTGATTCCTTGTGTTTGTCAGCTGGGCTTGGGCCCGAATCCCCTTGTTGGACAATTTGAGCATAATTTTGGCTTGTCTCACTTCTTATTTCTTTATCTTTCCTCTGAGCTACATCTGGTAGTTGGGTTGCACTACTTTTAGTCCTCTTTCTGGTATACCTTCGTGGATAAGGCTCCAAAGGTCCATCAAAATCAATTTGACGTGAAGAATGCTTTCTTTAATGGTGAGTTAGAAGAAGCGATCTACATGGAAATCCCGCCTAGTTTTGATTATGTGGATGGAGAAAATAAAGTTTGTAAGTTAAGAAAAGCCTTGTATGGATTGAAGCAGTCCCCTCGTGCCTGGTATGGGAGGTTTACTAAGGTTATGATGACCTTAAGATATAAACAGAGACAAGGAGATCGCACATTTTTCTTTAAGCACTCCCAAGATGGGAAGCTCATTGTGCTCCTTGTGTATGTTGATGATATAACAGGTGATGATATGGCGGAGAGACATATTTTGCAAGCAAGACTAACCTCTGAGTTTGAAGTTAAAGACCTTAGGAAATTGAGATATTTCCTAGGGATAGAAGTAGCTCATTCAAAGGATGGAATTTTTATCAGCCAAAGAAAATATGTCCTTGATCTTCTTAAAAAAGCAGGAAAACGGGGTGTAAACCCTCTAGTACTCCTATTAAGCAGAATCACAAGATGAATTATGAAGAGGAGAGTCCTCCAGTTGATAAAGGATAATATCAACGGCTGGTTGGAAGACTGATATATCTGGCTCACACTAGACCAGACCTAGCTTATCTTGTTAGTATTGTCAGTCAGTTTATGCATAATCCAAAGGAGAAACACATGCAGGCAGTGGAGAGATTTTTTCAATATCTTAAGCCACTCCTGGTAAAGGACTGTTATTTCGGCATAATGGCAATCTTTCTTTTAAAGTTTATACTGATGTTGATTATGCTGGATCTATGACTGACCGTCGATCTACCACTGGTTATTATATGTTTATTTATGGTAACTTAGTGACGTGGAGTAGTAAGAAACAAGATGTGGTTGCCAGGTCAAGTGCAGAGGCTGAATTATGGTAACTTAGTGACGTGGCGCTCGGCCGCTGCACCGTAACGCAACTCCGCTATAGCGCGCTAAAGCGGGCTATTCACAAGTATAGATCGGACAAATCATATTGAGGTCAACCGCCATTTCATCAAAGAGAAACTTGATAGCGGGTTGATTGTCATTCCATATATTCCCTCTGGGCGTCTATTAGCTGATATTTTGACAAAGGGACTTCCCTCAGATAGATTTCAAGAACTTACTAGCAAGCTGAGAATGATAAATATTTATTCTTCAGCTTGAGGGTGAGTGTTGTAAATAATAATAATTATTTTATTTATTTATTGTTGGATTCTAGAATCTTCCTTGGGCTTAGCCCATTAGGTCATTTAGCCTCTATAAATAGAGAGCCCTTTACAGTCATGAAACACAATTTGTCAATATAATATTATACTTCCTCTTTTCAAGTCTATCCCTTTAAAAATAACAAAGAAACCCCCTGGCACGGGCCATTAGCTTTTTTACACACAAGGAAACCAAGAGTAACAATCCTTTCTTACACTCTGGCAATAAACACCAACTACCACCATAACACAAGACCCTTATTCCTATTAAATTAATGGGAAAAATGTTTCTGCAGTTACTGCAGATAAGTTATCTGCATTTATTCCCAAAACGACATCGTTTTGGTATTGAAATCTTAAAAAGTTATAAATATAAAGACTATTATAACCCTGAAATAAATTAAAATTACAAAAACACCATAATTTCCGTCCCAAAACGACGTCGTATTGGACTTGCTGCAGATAAGTTCTGCAGTAAATGCAGAAAAAGCGAACCCTAAATTAATTCAGTTTATATATTCAAAAATATGGTTCCAAGAATAATTTCCCCGCATTAAGTAATAAACAAGGGATCAGCGTTAACATATTAATTCCTAAGGCTCCTCTTGTCCTAAGGGACCTCAACTATTGAATCTTATAATTTTTTGTCGTCCTCTGCCAGATCTCTATGACACCCTACACCAAAATGATTTCCAGTAGCACCCAGTGATCTTTCCTTCCTGTAAACACTAGAACTACCAATGCTAAATAAATTTCATTCAAGTGTCCAATTAAATACATTTTAATGTAATACATAGACATAGATTGTGCATGGCCTAGAATTTTTGTCTTGACCACCTGAAATTCAGGTTAACGAACATAATAACCAGATGCCTTAAAGTTGTCAAATTACTTATACAATTAGAAAATTTTGCTAAATTCAATATCTATCCACAATATTCACGTACCAGTTTCAACACTCATAATTCCGGGTTTGTTAAGAGTAAGAGAATTATCAATCAAGGGATTAATGTACAAATATTACTCCCAAATTTCTCAATTTATTTGTCAAACAAATAAGAACACCAATAAACATGTGTATGTAATAATGTACATTAGCAAGAACAGAAACAGCAAACATAATAAAAAAAGAGCAAAGTAAAAATTAGCAAAAAGCCAAAAAAACTATTGAACTTCTATCTTCATTGGTATCATAATAAAGTACTAGATAGGAATGAATTACAATACTTGTAAATAGAAATATAAGCCAAGTACATCAAATAAACCTGAAATTTAGGGTCACCATTTTGGGCCAATGTATTTGCAAGCATACGAGTCTGCTCCATTGCAGCAAAGTTTGACATGTTCGTACCTCGCATTTGATCAACAGATGACAATTGAGACTGCAGGATGAATAGCAAGAGAAGATAAGTTAAAAAAAATGAAGAGAAAATGAATTAAAAATAATAATATAAAGTTATATATAGAGGGTAACAGTGAGGAATTGATTAATGCAATACCTACAAATACCAGTATAATCCAATACTATGTATAGCAACATCGAGACTAGTGAAGAAAAAAGGCATTCCATCAAAGGGGGGGAAAAAAAAGAGATGCCTTCTTCCAATTTTGGTTATATTTAATTGCATGAATTGTTGACCTGGGTTCTACCCATTTTGGATGTTTTGATTGAAATTATAATAAATCTCAAAACAGGAAAGAAATCAAATGTCAACACACGATCTGATGAAATTCCTCATGCAGCTCTTTCTCATGATATGTGTGATACGCACAGGTGATGGATGCCAACATCAAGACCAATAAAAAAACAGGTCGTTGCATGAAGGCATGGTGAATTATTTTGAAGGGAATCCTGATTGAAGTGCTCAGGGGAGGAAACAAGGGAACATAAAAGAAAATGAGAGAAAGTAAAATAGAGAAAGAATATGTATTCTGAAGTTCATTACTATGAAAATCTTCTTCAACTGATCTTATAGTATCTCAAGCTAACTACTCATAACTGAATATGACTCAGCATTATAACAGTATCTGACTAGGCTAACAAACCATGCTTAACTGTAATGATTCTAACAGCTATAACAATTATCAGAAACAGTAAGAGATACAAAGCATGCATGTGTATGTGTGAGAGAGAAAGAGAACTGAGCTATGAGTGAATACTCTAAGAAAGCCTATGGCTGAAGAATGGAAAGTATTGATTGTGAAACTGAAACTGAAAGGAATAGCCCTACAATGGTGAAAAAGGCAGTAGAACCGTGCTAGGCCAGGAAAACCTAAAATTCAAACTTGGGAATCAATGGAGGCAAAACTCAGGAAGCAATTTCCACCAACTATAAGATGGACTTGCATAGGAGATTTCATGGATTGACCAAAAAAAGGTATTGCATGTCTAACATTATTTCAAAATTAAGAGTTTGCACAGCTTCGACTCAGAAATATAAGGAATCTTAAAATGTTTGCACTAGCATTCAGTTCAAGATAATAAGATTCTTTGATGCTCAAGAATTATAATTGCACGTCCATAGATTAAATGCCATGTTAATTTACAGATAAAAGACAGTAAGAAACTTCTTAAATTATAGCTGAAAGAAGAATAGTAAGGACTTCTCACATGTTCAAATTCAGAGACCCAACCATTTACACCATACTGCTGCTCAAATGAGTTAGCCCAAGAATCAGGATTATCATGTTTTTCCCTATGTTGACCATATTCAGCAATCCATCCATCTGAAGCACGAGCACCAAGTCTCGTGTTGCCCTGAGACTCATTCCAGTAATCCTCAAGCTCCCGAAATCTTTCAGGCATACGTTCCTTAGCATGAGCATTGCTATCAATATCTAGAGAGCATAGAAGTGCATTTACCTGAAAAGTAATTGCACGGGATAATACTATAGTCAAGCAATCAAGTCAAAAGAAATAGACAAAGACATCATTTTATTTTAGGACAATGTAGCAACATATTGGGTAAAAATCATTAGTGATCACATGAGGACATTTTGATCCAACACAACAACATTCCAAACACTTTATGAAAGGGAAATATTAGCCTCTAGAGGAAGAGCTTCACAAATTCCTGATATAAAGGTTTGGTAAAGATATAACCTGGGAAGTGATGCTAATAGGCATTTGACTCAATAAAATCAAAGGTCAGCTGAAATGTATGAACAAACAAACAAAACATATATGAAACTAGAGCTAGTCCCAGGCCAGCATAATCTAGTGTTAATTTGCACACAAAAAAATTAAAAATAAAAGTAAAAGTAAAAATCATCTTAATATAACATGAAAGCTAAAGGAAAATAAGGGAAAGAGGGAGAAAGTAAGAGAAAAGAGAAGGATTGGGAGGGGGGGGAGAGAGAGAGAGAGCTTCAGAGAAATCTCTTGTATTATTGACTTGAATGATTCTAAGTACAGTGAGTCCTATATATAGAGGAGGGCGAGGCTTGCTTAGTAAGCCAAGAGTCTGGTAACTGTTGCAACTGAAGCAACAGAAAGCCTGCTCGGCAAAACTAATTCTAACTGACTCTCAACAGGCCTGTAACCACTCAACTAAATCTATAACTACTCAACAGCTTACCAGCTGGAGTAGACAAAAATAGTCTAAGCACTACCACATCAGATACAGACCCGAGATTAACTGCATACGCATACTGGAACACATACTGGTATAGAAATGCAGTACAATGTGAAAGTATGCATATACTCTAATAAAATAAGATTGTACCAAGATATCTCTTGTGCAGCTCACATAAAAGCAGAGCCTAGGTGACCACCCTTGCACCAATTTTCAACATTGAACCGTAGCCCACAAACAATTAAACATCTCTCTCTCTTTTCCCTCAGTGACCAGTTCAATTTTTAGAGCATTAAGTCCGTATGCATGTAATGAAAATGAACCAAATAAGTGAAAAAGGAAACAAGGGATATCAGATGTAGGGTATTTTAATAAAAAATTTCCTTACTTGGGCATCGATAAATTCTTCGCTTTTATCTGCAAAGAGATGTCTGGCCATTATGCTACTACGGTCACGTATGCATTGTTTATCACCTTCAGATAAACCCAGTGATGGGAGAGGAGCAGGATGAAAAGGTATTCCACCACGACTGCTATCAAGAAATGAGTGCAAAAAGCTAGATAGAACTCTTTGTGGTGTCCCTGAGATATTGCAAAGAGAACAAAATCAATTTCATATCCCTTCTCTTTAATGTCAAATATCTCAAAGAATCAAATATAAGATAATCCAAACTCGGACAAAGTGAATGTTTGGTTCTACTTAATTTCTACACAACAAATACAATCTCAGCCAAAAGCCCTCTCTATTTCTGATTCATTTTAATTATAAGCTTAGCTTCTTCTTTTTTAGATCAAATAACAAGGTAATTAAAAAAACCACTCGCCATTAAACCCAGACTTGCCAAGTTAAAGGGTGAGAAAAACACATGTACGCAGTCTTATCCTTATATTTTTATTCCAAAGAGACTGTTTCTTGTATTCGAACCAGCAGTTATACCACTACTAGAGGCTCGCTCGCCCTCTTTTAAATAAGGTAATTCAAACTATACCGTCCAATGTTGGTTGATGAAGCTGGGGAACTGGTCCCCTAAGTTGAGGAATTGGAGTATGGCTAACTCCACCCTCACGCTGTATCTCATCCCACGTATCCTCAAGCCCAACCGCACCATCACCACCACCCGCAGACCGGAACCTATGCAAAAACTCCGACCCCTGTCATTCAAACAAATAAACAAACACGTTCAGTTCAATTTTCCATGTAAAGTGGTTTTGATTCATTAATTTTAAATGAAAACAACAACAGTAACAGAACGGAACCTGAGAATTAGAATCAAGAAATGGCTTATCGAGTTCAGAGCCAGGAAGCTGAGATGGAGTCTCGGAGTAAAATTGTTGAAAGGGAGGACCAGTTGGAGTGGATGTAGGAATCTCCTGCAACCTCTCCTGTATTTTATTTTTATTTTTCACAAATTAAACAACTAATTATAATTAATTGAAAAATTAATAAAAAAATGAAGAAGATTAAAGAGAAGAATGAGTTGGTTAACCTGAGTCTTAATAGAGTAAGAGCCAATAAGGGCGTTGGCGAGAGCATTAAGAGGGTTAGTTGAGGAAGAAGATGAAGATGGGTCAGGACATGCCGTTGAACCAGTTATAAGGTCACGCATCGCCATATTCCTGAGATAATTAGATAACTGCGTTTTCCAGGAATTCCTTCTTCTTCTTGTTCTTGTTCTTCTTCTTCTTCTTTGGTTGCTGCGCTGGTTCTGTTGTGTTTATCGTTTACCCTCTTTTATGCCTTTTTCTTATCTGTGTGCTTTCCTATGCTATGCTTGTCATATACTGGCCAATCATTTTCTGTTTTTTCTTGGGAAAAATAATATCTTTAATTAAATGTTGGAAAAAAAACATGTGTCACTTATACAATTTTATATAGAAATTAATATTTTTTATGTTATTGAAAATAATTTTATCTTTATATACAAAAAAAAATATATGAGATTCATCATTCATGGGGTCCCATATAAAGAGAAGATGGAGAAAAAAAAATGACTTTTGAAATAAAATTATCTCCTAAAAAACATTAATCAATTTTACGGTCTTCTGTTTATAATATTTTCTTTTTCTTTTTCTGATTTCTGATTTCTGAAAGAGAGAGAATATATTAAATCATCAAATATGCAACGAAACATATTTATTTTGCTTAAAATGGCATAAAATTATATTAATTAAAATAATAAATATTTTTTCATTTCATTTAATTAATATATAATGTATTAAGTACATTTAACTAATATATATATATATTATACGGATATTTTTTAAAATGCAATTTGAACATAAAAGAATACACATAATTAATTAAAATAAAATTTCAAAAAAAATAAAAAAATATTTAAAATAAAAAAATATGTATAGTCAATTTAAAAAATAAAAAGTGGAAAAATGTATATTGTTTTGTAAAAGAAATAAATATTAAGTCATTTTTAAAAAAAATATTTTATATATATATATAAATAAATAATATTACTTGCACACATTAGTAGTAATAGTATTAAATATAAAAAAATTCAATAAATGCGGGATGGTTAACAATAACTACTTAAATTCTTGAATCAAAAATTCAATCTTTGCAACAGTACTTTGAGAATTCTTTGACTTTAATCACACAAAATTCAAATATGGAAATTATACTTACAATTTATTTTCTCTTGCAACCGTCATATTTATCGTTTGATTAAAATCAAATTAACGGCTCTCATTTAATATTATTTTATAATCGTTGATTTAATTTTAATTTAATAATTAAAAAATTATTGTAAAAAACTATAAAAAAAAAAAAGGTTAACATCTCTCAAATCCATCTCCAAATTGCAAAAATAATATGCATATAGACAAGTAGCATAGAATTGAACCATAATTTAAAAACAGAATCTGTACACATTGGTGTGTGTGCCATGGAGTAACGAAGTAAGAAAAAACAAATAAGAACTTTGTCTGGTTGAACAACGGAGTTGAAAAATTAGAATCCAAGTACGTGAGATTTGGAATTATATCAGAATTTATAATTCCATGTTTGAGTTTCACATGAAATAAATATATAATTTTTCAAATATAATTTGATTATTTGTATGTATCACCTACTTATGTGTTTTAAGAAATTTGTAAGTGTGTTATACAAACAAACAAAAAAAAAAAAAAATTGTAAGTGTCACCGTAACTTTAAAACCAAAAAGAATAAAATATGAATAATTAAAATGTTACTAATATGGCCAAGTGTGGTAATTGAGGTGGCGGTATAAATTAAAAGTATCATCACTACCAAAAAAAAATTATTATATATTGTAGCAAAAACTTCAAGAATTCCGCTTCAAGAATTCCGGTAAGTGATAAAGATATTTTAAATTAGGGATATAAGTGATAAAAATATTTTAAATAAAAATATAAATGATTCAAAAAAATTTGAGTGAATAAATAATTATAAAATAAATTATAGGAATTTTTTAAATTTTTCCTTATATTATATTGCAATGACCTTGATAGCAATCATGGAGGCAAAAAAAGCGAGTACAAATGAAAACAATACTGTAGGTAGTGATGTGACCGCGGAAAGCAGAAGCTCTAATGATGGTGGAGAATGAAAGGATATTAGTGGGCGTTTGGTACGCGGGATTTTGAGAGATTTTCGGGAAATTGAATTTTTTTAAATTTTCAGATATTATCATAAACTGAATCCAAAAATTATATTTTTAAAAATCGAGATTCCCGGACAAATAAAAATTTCTCCTGTACCAAACACCCCCTTAGAGTATGAACAATATAATAATATTTATAAAATGAGAATAATATTTTTAAATGCAAATGAATATTTCAATAATTTTGTTTTTTTATAATAGCATCACTTATTTTTACGTTAAAATAAGAGAAAAAATTTCTTTAATAAAAGCAGACATAATTTTTCTTGGGATATGATATTGTAACAACTAATTAGTGTTACTATCAATGTTATTACCAATCAATTTTATCGTTAGATCGATTATTTTGATCCAACGGTTATATTTATTTATATCTTTGTACGGTTATGTTTTTCCATATTTAATGTGAAAGCATTAAATATGAAAAATCATAATCATACAAAGGTAAAAATAAATATTAAATATAGAGAATCATAACCATACAAAGATGAAAATAAATATAATTGTTAGATCAACATAACGATCTAACGGTGAAATTAATTGGTAGTAACATTGATAGTGATACTAATTGATTGTTACAATATCCTTTCTCATTTTTCTTATAACATTTATATAACTTCCTTTAACTTCGGGCAAGCAAAAAGAATAAAGAAAGGTAATTAATAATTAAAATTTTAATTTTAATAAACTATTTTTATATATACCTGAACAAATTTGCTTGACATCATTCAATGTTAAATATATTTAGTTGAGTTGTTTCAATTTCAACTTTCAAATCTTTGACTTAAGAAACGTCTGATAAAGAAGAAATTTTTTTTATCTGGGAATCAAATTCCCAAAAATGTGTTGGAAAAGTGAATTTGCTGGAAATATTATCAAAATATTGTTCGGTAGGCCAAAATATTTTTGAAAATATTAGATCATGCTGCCAATGTAGACTTCTAAGTTTCTTCCAATTTGCGAAGACTCGGTTCATCATCCTCTGTATGTTGCCCCGATATTTTTTAAATCGAACGACATAACCTTATAACAGAAATTCCCCTTCTCCGAAATGAAGGTGGTCTTATCATGATCCTTAGGGTGTAATGGGATCTGGTTATATCCAGAATAAGCATCCATAAAGGAGAGTAGCTGAAAACCTAAAGAGTTATCAACTAGCTAATGTATATTAGGCATAGGATACGAGTTTTTTGGGCAGGCCATGTCGAAGTTGGTGTAATCGACGCAAATTCACCACTTCTCACTAGGCTTCTTTACCATCAAGACATTGGAAAGTCACGTGGTATATTGTATCTCTCTGATAAAACCAGCTTCCAGTAGCTCATCCACATGTTCGTTTAATGTTTGACGTCAGTCAGGACCTATCTTCCTCTTCTTATGGGATACTGGTTTAGACCCGGGATACATGAAAAGTTGGTGGCAGCAAAAAGTGGGATCTATTCCAGGTATCTCAGATGTCTTCCAAGCGAAAATGTCATGATTTTCTTTTAGAAATGAGATAAGTTGTTATCTTATCTCGGCTTTTATGTTCTTGCCAATCTTATTGTAACGTTTGTCGTCTTCTCCAATTTTGACGATCTCTAATTCTCCTTTAGGTTCCAATCTCAGAGTTTGTAGTTTCTCCCTCATATCGAGCTCGACCAAGTTGAGTTGGTTGCCACATGGATACACAGACTCTGATTTGGCTGGGACCTTTTTCTCCTTCTCGGATCTTTAAGGGGATGATGGGTCGCCTTGAGTTACCTTAAGAGTTTTATAATAACACTCTCTGGTTTCTTTTTTATCTCCTCTAATAGTGATGACCTCATTTCTTGACCCTACCATTTTCAAAGCTTGGTGCTTAGTTGAGACAAGCATGTCTCATTCGTGGATTGTAGGTCGGCCAATTATCACGTTGTAGGATGAAGTTGCATCGACCACAGTGAAGCATACTCTGTCAGCTCGAAATGCCTCACTTGCTCCCAATGTAAGTTTTAAGTCTATATATCCTTGGGGGAGCCTGTTCCCCGCTGAATCCTACCAATTCTTTTATGTATGGTTTCAAATCCTATTTGTCTAGATTCATTTTTTGAAATGTATTCCAAAAGAGAATATCAGCTGAACTTCCAGGGTTTAAGATCATTCTCTTGACTCGGTAGTTAACCAGTATCCTACTAATAACCAGTCTGTCCGTATGACCTGGGACCACCTTCTCTAGATCTTTTTTAGTGAAAAATAACCTCAGAAGTTTGGGCTTGTCTCCCTTCTCTTTGAAAACTAGTATGTCTTTTACTGACATGACCTCTTTGAGGTAATTCCTCTTTGCACTAGTGATGTCTCCACCGCCTCCAATCTCTCCACTTATCACATTGCAGTTGAATTCAGCTTCCTAAAATTCATCATCTTTGTGTCGGGCCTTGTTACCTCTATCGTGATTATCTTTATACCGGTCCCTCATGTTTTCTTTTTTTTGGACTCGGGCTCTTGCTACGACTTCGCTGCCTGCGTTTGTTAATTTTTTTTTTCCTTGAGTGCAAATGAGATATTGCTTTAACTTTCCTTCTCTGATGTGCTTTTCAGTAGCAGCTCAAAGGTCCCAACATTCATCAGTAGTATGACTGTTACCATCATGGAAGGTGCAATACTTAAGTCCGCCTTTTTTACTGATGGGCCTAGGTCTTTCGACATTTTGCAGCTTGGTCTGGGTAACCTCTCTCCAGATCCGAGATCTGGAAACATTGAGAGGTGCATAACTATCAAATTTAGCTCTCGAAGAGTGTTCTTCTGATCTTTTATTGTGAAACTCGGCCGCCTTCCTGGATCCCTACCTATCTTTGTCCATGTTCTTCTTGTTCTGGCTTTTGTGTCTAAGGCTTCAGCCTCAATCTTCACCGTAGGCGCATTGCATATCCTCCACATCAATGTATTTGTCCGATCTTTGTCTGAATTCTTCCAAAGCATTGATCGGGTTTTTGTATATGGACTTGGCCAAAGGGGATTCTTCATCCAATCCTGAGATAATCAAGTGTAGATGGACTATTTTAGTTAAATTGCGTACTTTGAGGGAGGCTTTCTTGAAATGATTGAGATATTCTTGCAATTTTTCT